TATATATTAAAACAATACAAGGGGCACGATCGTAACCCCGACAAACTCATCATTAAGTTTGATCGACAAAATTAAGGGCTCTAAGTGAACAATATATTAAAACAATCAGACTCCACATAATAACAAGACGGGTATATAATATAATAACTCTTTTATCTTTTTGCAAAGTTGATTCTTCAAACTATCTTCTAAGCCAAGTTGATGAATATAAGCATTGATTACATTTATAATATCTCTATAATATTGGACTTGATTGCAATCATACTAACCCTTTTTTAAATGTCTTGATTTATTTTCTATTTCCATTTAGCTCCTTTCTAAGCAATATTTATTCTTCTTTTAATTATTTGTGCCTATCGGTTCTCATCTTCTCATTTGAAGATTTCATCTTCTATGTAGCAAATTTAATCTTAGTTTTAAACTTAATCAAAACTTGCTTGTTTTGTTTACGATGATTGATTTAAATTATGACATTTCATTTGTTCTCTTGCCTATTTTCACCACCATTAGTTAAATTTTGCAAGCTACTTAAAAGGCCATGTCCTTGCAAACTCTTGGCTATTCCTCAAAATAGTTGAATTAGTAGTTACATCTCACTTCTATGAGGCACCTAGTGCTTTTATCAAATTCAGATTAATTTTATGAATTTTAGCATGTAAATTGTTTGATAAAATGTCGACCTAAGATCAACACGTCTAGGGGCCAACAATTACAGTTTTTTCTGATTAAAGTTTATTGGCTATAATAATAGTAATAAAAAGAATGTAGCATAATTGCAAATATAAATACATACAAGACACAGGCTTAATGGTTGGTTTATTTTATGGAGCATGGGAACTTGCATATGTGGACTTGAGCATTCAAAATCTGTTTGACAAGCTTAAGCTAGAAGTTGAGTTTGACTCAGACTTTGTCACAAATTGAAAATCAGCCTCCCTAATTAGTAACAATGAGATGCCTAGTAACATTTTTTATGATCTTTTACATCTCTTGTAATTTTGTTTTTTTGATTAATTTTTGTCATGCATCTCAGATTTATGAGATAGTTAACCTTGCGGATGAGCTTCTTCCACCTTTGCCAAAAGGAACTGTTTTCCTCCCGATTTATTCTAATGTTTTTGGGAAAGGATCAGCTGGAAAGAAAATCTCTTGCAGCTCTTCAGGGAAGCAGGAGACTCATAGAACAACTGGTGAAATATCTTCTCATGAAAAGTTATTGCAAGATAAATCTGAACTCCTGCAGCAGTTTGGAATGGACTTGCTTCCTATTTTGACCCAGGTTTGTGCTTTATCAAGCATTATTTTTCTCTATTTCTCTACCTTTTATTAGTTAATGAGGTTGATATTTTCTATCCTTTAACATGGTCCTGTCCATCTGTATTGTCATTGTTGACCAGATATATGGTTCCAGTGTAAATGGTCCGATTCGGCATAGATGTCTTTCAGTCATTGGGAAACTTATGTACTTTAGCTCTGCTGAGATGATTCCATCTTTGCTTAATGCAACAAACATATCAAGGTTTTTGGCAAATTTTGAACACTTTTTTACCATCAACATGATCTACTGTAGCATAAACTTTCTTCTTATCCAACAATTATATGCTCATTTCTTCTTTTCTTACAGCTTCTTAGCAGGAGTTTTGGCTTGGAAAGACCCGCAGGTGCTGATTCCTGCTCTTCAGATAGCAGATATTCTTATGGACAAGCTTCCTGATATTTTTGCTGAAAAATTTGGGAGGGAAGGGGTCATCCATGCTATTGATGCTCTCGTAGTTTCAGATTCTTCAACCAGTGTTCCTTCTCAATCATTCCTCCCTGAGAAGGATGCTGATCCCATCTCATCTCGTTCTCGGCGACATCGACGGCATAGTGGACTTACTAACACAGATGGCGGTTTGTTGGATGAAGCAAAAGTTATGGCAGATGGAACTGCTAGTTCAACACCATTATCACAGGCTCCAGTTGCCAATAATAGCATTAGGGCCACTGTGAGTAACTTTGCCAAAGCTTTTAAAGACAAACACTTTCCTGCTGTTTCAGGTGCTACTAAAGTTGGTGTCACTGAGGATCTTTTTCTTTTGAGAAGTCTTTGTTCAAAATTGAATGCAAATGCTGATGTTGTGAAGTTTAAAGCAAAGGGAAAATCGAAGGCCTGTGGAGCTATTTCATTTGATACTTCTGCAAGTTTGGAGGGGGACCTTGATGGTGTTATTTCTGAGTTGTTGACGGTGCTTTGTAAAGGGAATGGTGTATCAACTTTTGAGTTCATTGGCAGTGGTGTTGTTGTAGCTTTGCTGAATTATTTTTCATGTGGAACATTCGGGAAAGATAGAGTTTCAGAGGCTAACCTATCTGCCTTTCGTCAGCAAGCTCTTATAAGGTACAAGTCTTTCATAAAACTTGCTCTTCCTGTTGGTGTTAAGGAAGGGAATGAAGTTCCTATGAGCTTCTTGGTTCAAAAGCTTCAAAATGCTTTATCTTCTTTGGAGCGTTTTCCTGTTGTACTTAGCCACCCGTCTAGATCATCTAGTGGTGGTAGTGCTCGTCTTTCTTCTGGTCTTGGTGCATTGTCACAACCCTTTAAGTTGCGCTTATATAGAGCACAAGGTGAAAAGTCTCTGCGTGATTATTCTTCCAGTGTTGTACTCATTGATCCTCTGGCGACTCTAGCAGCTGTTGAAGAGTTTCTTTGGCCAAGGGTCCAAAGGAATGACTCTGCACAGAAGATTTTCTCAGCAGTCGGAAATCCTGATGCAGGTGCCTCAGCTAACGGAGGCAGTGTTTCATCACCAGGCAAATCGACTCCTGTGTCAATTCATCGTCCTACAACAAGATCTAGATCATCACTAATCATAGGAGGTACAGCGGGAAAGGAATCTTGTGATGGAAATGCAAGCTCTTCAAAAGGAAAGGGTAAAGCTGTTCTGAAATCTACACCTGATGAGGGGAAAGGAACCCTAGGGAGAAATGAAAACCGCAGAACAGCAGCTTCAGAAAAGGACAGAGAAATGAAACCCTCACATGTTGACTCTAACTCGGAGGTTCACTTAACGAATCCTTAAATTTAATTTTTGTTCCTCATATTCAGTTTAAGATTTCTTCATTTTAAAAGACATGCTGACTTGAGATGGGGTTTAGTGAAGTCAAACAGCAGTAAATTAGCTGGTATTTTAGGTTACTTCAAGTTTTACCTTTTTTTTTATAATCTCATTGCTCATACATGATACACCTTTTTTTTCCATTAGCACTTATTTTCATTAATAGCTTGAACTTGTTGTTGCCATCTTATATAGTTTTAGATGGTTTCATAATAATTAGGGGTTTTACATACAAAGCACTCAAAACACATGTTTTTACATATATCACACTTAAATCCTTATATTTACTTATATATAGCGCATGAAATTATCTAATAAATACAAAAATAGAATTTTGGTTCTCCTCCGTTACTTTTTCTGTCACCTGTATTTTATAGGTTGTCGGTTTCACTGGTGTTGTACTAGCAGAATCATATTGTTTGTTACCTGAGAATTTGTTCCAGCAAGATGCATATCATGCATCGTCTCTTTATGCTTCTAAGGTTGCTTTTGTAATGCCCAAATTTGAAGAAATTTAGTAGGATCGGCACGATTCTTAAAATACCTCATAAAATTTCATCTCCCGGAATTTAATTGAAATAATTTTATTAAATTCTACACATAAAATCGATCAATTCCATATAAAGCACCATGCATGAATAATGAATGGACTGGGGGATATAAATTGTTGAATTTATAAGTTAAATTAATTTTACTAAAATTTAATTAAATACTAATTTTTCTCCCTAATCACTCTGTTATTGTAGCCACCGACTTATGCCTTTTTTTTCTTTTGTGTTATGTTGATTAGGATAGATGCGAGTTTCAAAATCCTCCCCTTTTCTCAATTTTCGTCTCCCATTCCCCTCTCTTTGTTGCGTTTCACGCGGTAGAAAGCCGCCTGGAAGGCTCCCATGACTCTCACGCTCAGACCACTATAATAAGGGTGAACACCGCGAGCTGAGTCGCGAACAGCAAGGGGTGGACGGCTACCCAAGTGCCGCAGAGCATGATTTTGGACTTTGGGGTGGAATCTTATGGTGTGAATCCACTTCCCACACAATTCTAAGCATTCATTTCTTCATCTCACTTCCGAATTGAAGTTTGCCTTGTTTTTGATATTTTTCTCATTTCTGGTAACCGGTAGAGACACTGATTGTGTGTCAGAAGTGTCGTAATCATTTTGAAAGCTTCCGAAAGAGTTTTAGCATGATTTTAGAGAATGGGAAGTTGGAGGTGATAGGACGAAGATTAGCTTGTTTCAGAAGGGCGATTTATGTTGAACACTCTTTTTGAGGTATGTTTTGGCAGTTAAAGCTTGTTTTTGGTTTAATCGTGTTTTTAGCCGAATTTCATGAAACCCTATGTTGTTTACAGGCTCCAGGTTGTCTATACTAGACGACGAGCTCGAGATGAGCATATAGAAACCCGTCGTATGGTTGCTCCGTCGAATCATGTGAAATAATATTATGCTAATTTAAGAAAAATAATCTTCTATAGGTTTGTATATGATTGTTAGTTGACACTGATGCATTTAGGAATTTTGGCATGTTCTAGATGGATAATGTTGACCTCATTTTTGGTGAGGTATCTTTCTTTTATTAGAGCATAGGATCTAGCCTTAGGGTTTCTTACCGATTCTCTTAGAGGACTAGTTGAGACCCTCACCAACTAGAAATTCGAGCCACTTCTTAACTCTTCGTAGTTTCATGTGACCGGTTCTAAATCCTCAGCACTTAGTTGAGTTGATTAAAACTAGTGCGACGAAGCTCGAGTCGAGTATTCATAGGACCTAAAGCCTTAGGAAACCCATCGTGTCGTCTGCGCACACTCACGATACACGAATTTCACAATTCACACATTCGATACACATTATTATCGAAATTCACATCATTTGCACTTGTAGAAGGCTCCGTGATTGATCAAACTCGAATAGATTCCTGGAACAATCGATCACGAGCGAGAATTTCGTGGAGATTTGAGTTCGACGCGTTTTCGACCCGACCGTCGACGAGGTCGCCCGTGTGACCCCAGATAATTAAACAGACCGCACTTGCACGTCCGGGACGTCGAATTTAGTTAAGGGAGACACCCATTCTTGATATGTTTGGGGCAAGGTCGAATCGTGTGTGAATTGGAGAAATTTGAATATATTATATTATATTATATATATATATATATATATATATCACAACACAAGGTTTTTAATCTTCCAAAAATCCCTAATTTGCCTCCTCCGCCTTTGGTCCCGTCCCCTTCTTTGTGCCTGGGTATGAGCTGAGCCCTAGTTGCGCGTCTCTTGGTTCATTTCCGTCTTCCCGTGACAAGGAGTTGGCTCCCTTTTCCCTCTCGACACTCTATGCCCGAGTCGTTTCTTCTCGAAGCATTTTCTGGTTCGTCTTGCTGCGCTGGAAGCTCTTTCAGGGTAAGTTGACTCAGGCGCTCGTGTTCCCTGGGTCACAAATGCCGAAATTCCTCTCCTTTGCGATGTTTCTTCTCTTTCAGCTGGGTCGAGCTTTGGTTTAGCTTCACCTAGGGTAGTTTCTCAGCTCTTCTCCCCTATCTTCTGCGATTATAAAAGCCCGGGGGGGGGGAGCTTTCTGTGAGGTTACGAAAATTGGGAGCTTGGGGAGACTATCGGAATTGCTTCTCATGCCTATGAGCTTGGTGTTTTGGAAGTCTTGTGATTTTCTTCTGTTGTTTTGCAAAAACTCAGGCAAGGTACTCCTTTGTTCTCCCCTCTGCTTGATAGAGGCTATGTGTTGTTTTCCTCTTTGCTCGACAGGGACTACATGCATGTGAAAGTTTAATTATTCTGCTGGTATGTCATACTGAGGCTGCTCTTTAGCTTTTAAGTTTTTAATGTTTCTTTAGTTTTAGTTTAAATGCTGCATATTACTGGGTCTGTTTTAAATCCTCAATGATGTTTAATTGGAAATGTAGAATTATCAGAACGGCATGGTTCAATTCTTATGCATGTGCAAGCTTTCTTCTTGTGTTCCTATCACATCTATACCTGTGCATAGAAGTTTGAGGGCTGTTTTAGCCTTCTGGGTTGTAGTTTTCCTTGTTGTGTTGATTTAACATTGAGGCTTTTGAAAATTTTATTTTGGGGGCTTTGTTTTGTGCTTCTCTGTTAACCCCCATTCGAAGCATATTTATGTGGCTTTTATTTAATTTTGGGGCTGTTGGAGGTTTGGCTTTGGGGCTCTGTTCACTATCTTTTATGTTCGGAATGCATATGCAGTTGAAATTTGGTTTTCGGAGACATTATAGAATTTGCTTTTGAGGCTCGGTTTTGCCCCCCTGTGGCTGCCTTCCCTATTCGAAATACTGGTGCAGCTGGAATATTGGTTTTGAGGCTTTGAAAAGGCTTATTTTAGGGGGTTTAGCTTTGTTCCTTGTTGCTCCCTCTGTTCGAAACTCCTGCAGATGCTGATGTTTGATTTTGGGGCTCTTAGAAGCCTTGTTTTGGGGTCCTGTGTTGCTCCTCCTGGCCGTGAGCCTTTCTGATGATGTTTCTCTTGTTTGTGCTAGGGCTGCTGGCTTTCCTTTGTTGCTCCTACTTGAAAGCATCTGATTATGTTGTTTTTGTCCCTGTTTGTTTGGGGCTCAGCTGGCCCTTTTGCTGTCCCTGCCTGTGAGTCAGTTGGGTGTTTGTTTGGGGCTCAACTGATCCTCTTTGTTATCCCTGCTTGTGAGTCTGTTGGGTGTTTGTTTGGGGATCAACTGGCCCTCTTTTGTTTGTGGTTCAGCTGGCCCACTTTGTTTTCCCTGTCCGTGAGCCTTGTTGGATGTTGGCTTGGGTTTGGTCTGCTTCCTGACTGCCCTTTCCCTTGAGCTTGTTGGCTGGGTTGCTCCTCCTGCTGCCCCTACTTGAGAGCAACTGTTTGGGTTCCTTTGTGTTGTGTTGAGTTTATGCCTCTATGGAAGTTTTGGTAACTTTTGGTTCGAAGTGGAATTGAATTTTTTAATATTTGTGAAATGAAAATTTTCAATTCTTGTTGTTTGGAAGAATTCAAGTGCCCCTTTTCGAGGAATGATCTATGAAATTCTTGGAGATAGTTCAAGGCCCACTTCTTTGGGCTAAATTGATCGCAAAAAAAAAAAAGAAAAAAAAAGAAAGAATTAAAAAAAATCTTTATGATCTTTGTCGAGGGAAAATTTGGAGGCAGCCTGAAGTCCTCTATAATATGTCTTTTAGAGATGTGTTGGAGTTAGCATTGGGGGCGTGCCCCATTTCATCGCTCAATCAAGGAGTCTCACAGATTGAATATTTTAGGCTAACCCTCCTACCACTTTGGATTTTCTCTTTAAATTAATTTTGGATGCGGGTTAGTCTCCTTTTGTTTTTCTTGCTTTTTAGTTCATTTGCCTTCTTGGTTTGGGTTTTAGGCGTTTATGTCCGAAACATAAGTGCACATATATAATTGCGGCTATATATGGAACCATCAAGCAAGATCGTAAGTTGGATGATCTTTTTGGGGTTTTAGGCCTTGTTGATAAAGACATTCGGTGGTAGAGTGGAATAATTTTTTATCCTACAACATCTGGACCAATCGCGGGACCCAGTGAAACGTATTCACCGACACCAGACTAGCAGGACACCCTTGCCTTCTTATGTTGTTGGTGTTCCTAGCCCGACGGTGCGATCAAATTGTGGACAATCACATTTTATAAAAAATAATAACATATACAATAAGAACCGATACGCTATTTACAAAAGTATTTTAACTACAAAATATAAATGGAGCCTATATGCATGCTAAAATATAAATTTTAAGTAATATAATTCGATTGTCCACTTGTCAATTGTGGGTACTGGGCTAAGGAGTACCGTTCTAAGTTGTTATTATAGAAAAAAATTTCTAGTTGAATGTCGGACTCTATACATACGGGTGACCGATAATTGCCTTCGGAATCCCTCGAGAATACCTAAATCTGAGTTTGCCTCAACTCAAATG